GGAATATAGGAATATTTATGCCTATATATAATAAAGACTCCTCCCTCATGATAAAATTGCAGGTCCCACAAAACCTGAATCTGCCCCTGGTGGTAAATGCACGAATATGACCCCTGCTTTCAGTGTTTACAGGAAGAGAGGAAGAGACACTGATCAAAGACTTGCATAAATAAATGGATGATTGTAAAGTGTGAAAGGTATTGAAGGAGAACTGTGGAGTCTCAAGAGTGTAATAGAAAACAAGTCAGAGTAATTTCCCTGGACTGAAAGCTGAGGCGAAATAGGTGGCAACCAGGTAGGGGAGAGGGATTCCCAATGCTTCTGCTAAATGGTCACTTCTCACAGTTCCGTCTTCAACTCAGAGATCTGAAGTAGGTTTCAAGATAGAAAGGCAGACAGCCTGTCCTGGCCTATCAGTCCACCTCATTCCCTGCTTAAAACTTTCCAGTGATTTCTCACCCACTGAGAAAATCCTAGTTCTGTCCCATGGCCTGCAGGTACTGCCTGCCTCTCCAACCCCTCTCCCACTCCTCTTCTCTGTGCCTCACTGAACCTGTGCTGCACAGTGTGTCTTCAGACTGTGACTGACCTTGATTTTGTAGACTCCCTCCACTCTGACATCTTATCAACAGTAGTTAAATATGCCAACATCTTACAATCTTTTATTGTTTTTCTGAATAAAAGCTTTGGAAGCAGTGTTCAGAATTTTGCTAAATCTGAGTAACTATTTTGTAATTAGCTGTGATTTCTCAGCAATTACTGTGCATACTGAGAACTTATTACAAAGTGAGAAAGTCTAACCAACAAATTGTGTTCAAATGTAAGGCAGCTTTTATGATTAATAAATTTAGCAGGCAATGAAGACATTTATCCCATTTAAATAGACATTATTAATATTAATTTTGTGGGATCAATCCCTCCCCCATTCCCTTTGCACATAGTTTCTTAGTGCCTAGAAATGTTCATTGACCCCGGCACTCAGGCCATAGTGCCTAAAGGGTGAAACACTGCTGACTCACGCCTTGACTCTGTGCTCACTGTGTTTTTTTTGCTGTATGCTCTGCCTCTGGCTCCTGGAAAAAGTCAGAGGAGTGTCGTCCCAAATGCTCGTTCTTCTTGTTTACTTACTGAGATTGTTTGCTAGGGCTGCTGTAACAAAGAATCAAAGACTGCATGGCTTAAACAACAGACTCCTACTACTGCATCCCAGTTCTAGAGGCCAGAAGTCCAAAGTTAAAGTGTCTTCAGGTTGGTTCCTTCTGAGCACTGTGCGGGAGCAGCTGCCCCAGGTCTCCATCTTAGCTCAGACATTCTCAACCTCAGACGTTCCTTGGCTTGCAGGGCTTGTAAATGACTTGCCCTGTGCATCATATTATCTTCCCTCCGTGCATGTCAGTCTGTGCCTAAATTCTTTCTGATAAAGGTGCAGTCATGGTGGGCAAGGGCCCACCCTAACAACCTCGCCTTAACTTGAGTACCTCTGTAAAAGCTGTATCTTCAAGTAAGGTCATATTTTACAGTATTGGGTGTTAGGACTTCAGCATCTTTTCAGGGGATACAATTCACTCCATAATGCATTTATTTATTTGATTCTAGTTTATTCTCAGTTCAGATGTTCTCTCCTAAGGGCTATTTCTGACCAGCCTATATAGACTCCCTCCTTGCCATCTGCATTACCATATCTTTTCCTTCACAAAGCTGTTGTGCCAAGAAACCTATATTTGTACATCTGTAAACTTCTGATTCTACATTCAAATCTACTCCTGCACTGGTTTGAAAATTTTCTCTTCTAATTATCCTTATGATATTTTCTTTGACTTCATGAATTAATTAGAAGTGTATCATTTTATTTTCTTATCTTTAGGGTTTTCCTAAATATCTGAATGTAACTTATTTCTAATTTAAATTTAGAGATCATATTTTAAATTTTGTATAGTTTTAATCCTTAATTTCTCTTTTTTTAAGTACTTGGGCTTGAACTCAGGCTCTCACACATGCTGAGCAAATGCTTTACCACTGAGCTATATCCCCAGCCCCTTTCCCCTTTAAAAATTTTGAGATAACAAAAATAAAAAATAAATAAAATTTTGAGATAGGGTCTCACTAAGTTGCCCCAGCAGGCCTCAAACTTGTGATCCTCCTGCCTTATCCTCCCAAGTAGCTGGGATTAAGGCATGTAACACTATGTTTGGGAAGCCTTCTCAAATTCTTGAAGTTTGTTTTATGGTTGTACATATGGTTTCTCTTGGTGAGCATTCTACAATTTAGAGGAATGTGCATTCTACAAGTTGTTGAGTGTTGAGTTCCAGAAATAACAGTTAAGGTGAAAGTGTTGATAGTGTTGGTCAATTCTCGTCTTTACTGACTTTTGACCTAGTTCTCTTAATTGCTTAGAGAGATAAATGTTTAAAATATCTTACTGTGATTGTGAAATTGTTTGTTTTCTTTTTTTGACTTTTACTTTATGTATTTTGAGGCTCCATTGAGAAAGGAAACCACCCTTCCATATGGAATTGGGCAACTTTGGGTTAACTGGGTAACTATAATCTTTGTAGAATGCACCTGAGTAACCATGACAACTTCTGTAATCTGTTACCAAAGGAGCATAACGGACTCAGAAAGTCCTGCCAGAACTCTTCGCTTCCCCCGCCCCCAGCTGCTCTGCTTTGTGTAAATCCTGCTTGCTATATTCTCAGGGAAACTCCAATAAAATTAAGCCTCGTAGAGGTAAAAAGAGGTATATAAAGAAGAACAAATTTCGGGCCGGGGATTTACAGCGGCACCGCAGCTGCCTCGCAAGCGCAAGGTCCCGAGTTTGATCTCTGGTACCAAAAAAAAAAAAAAAGAAGAAGAAGAACAACAACAAATTTCTATTTGGGGCTCTCAAGACTGACAAGAGTCACTGGCTGAGCTGCCAACATTATTAAAGCTGCTTTTTGCTCCTAACTCCGTGTTCAAGTGCTTTGTCTGGGATTCCTCGTTTCCTGCTACGCCATTATTAAGAACATATGGATATCTGTAAATTCATGTGTTTCACTATGTTATGGAAAGATTTAGCCATCATTTCTTCAAGTATTTTTCTGCTTTATTTTCTCATTTTTTTCCTTCTATAATTCCAATAAGTGTGTTAGACACAGGTTCCATAGGTCTGTCCGATTTTTTTTCAATTTTGTTTTCACTTTGTTCTGAGATTAATTTCTGTTGATCTATAATGCAAGTTTGCTAGGTTTTTCTTTCAGTCATCTCCATTCTACTAGGCACATTCCATAACTTTAAAATTTAAAATATTATACCTTTTAGTTTATATGAGGCACTGTAATTTTTAGTTCTAAAATTTCCATTTAATTATTTTTTTAAATAACTATTATCAATCACACATACAAAAAATTAAAACCATTCAAAGAAGAACAATCCATTTAATTATTTTAAAAATAATTTCTGTTTTTATTCAAGATTTCCTGCTTTTCCATTTATTGCAAGCATACTTTCCCTTACATAATTGAGTATGGGTGGATAGAAGCTTTAAAGTCCTATTTCCTGATTCCAGCATCTGAGTGATTTTGTGATATTTTCCCACTGAGAATAGGTTACATTTTCCTAGTTCTTCGTATGTCAAATAATTTTGGATTGTCATCTGGATGTTGTGAATATTGTGTTGTGGAAACTGGGTTATCTTTCTACATGAGGTTGATTTTTTTCATTTGATTTGGTTTAGATTTTAGCAAAAAATTAACTAAGCATGGCTACACACAAGCTACAAGCACCATCTCTTGGGCAGCAGCCCCAAATTTACTTCCACTACTTCAAGTTGGGCTGGTTTGAATCTGCACAACATGTGTGTGGTTCAGGAGCAGCTGAGATTTGGGCACTGTTTATACACAAATTCTAGGACCTCCCCTCTCTGGTTTTCTCTTTTCTACAATTCTCTCCTCATTGTTCAATGGCTTTAAGCTTCCTAAACTCTGTCCTTGGATCTCTAAGCCAGAAAGTATTGCTGATTTTCTACCAGAGTTTTAGCTGCTCAGCACACCATGTCAACTATATCCTGCGCTCAAACTATGTGTCATAAAATGGGATCTTTTATTACATGTTGTTTCACTCTTCCAAGTGCTGACTCTCCTCCAGAATCACTCTCCCATGTTTATATACATTTTTAAATGTGATTTTTTTCCTTCCAGAGATTATAGTTCTTGGGAGAAGATGAACCCATAGGAACTTACTTGGTCATAGTGGAAACAGAAATCCAGCTTTAAACATTTTATAATTTATTTTTATATAAATGACAGCAGTAAACAGAACTTAAAATTGAAAAGCAAAGAATGCTGGGGATTTAGCTCAGTGGTTCCACCGCCTGCCTCACAAGCACAAGGTCCTGAGTTCAATCCCTGGTACCCCCCAAAAAATTGAAAAGCAAAGAAATGATTGTTTTATTTTGGTTTTTTGAGACAAAGTCTCACTTTGTAGTTCAGACTGGCCTTGAACTTATTCTGTAGTCCAGGCTGGCTTGGAACTCAGAGCAATTTTCCTTTCTCAGCCTCTGGAGTGCTGGGATTACAGGTGTGTGCCACCATGCCCAGCTACCAAAGAAATAATTTATCAACAATAATCTTTTTTCCAATTTTTCTATATTGTCTTCTATATTTTATTTTTATTCATATTCATTTTTATTGTTTCATGTTTATTGTTATGGCAATAATATACATACAACTTTGTATTCAGCTTATATAACACTATTAGCAATGGTGTCCTGATAAATATTTGATAGCTTGAGCTCTAGGAATGGGGCTGTTTTCCAGTTTCCCTGGTGTAAATATCCCAACCATGGCTGATTTAATGCTACTGACATTATTCATCATTGAATGCAGAATTTGGAAGAGTGCATGCACACAGTTGGCTCTCTTAAGGCACTATGGGCTGGCTTCACCACACTACTAATTATAGTGGCTGTATCATATTCCATCACCTGAATGGATAGCAGTTTACTTATTTATTCCTAGATGTTGAATATTGTGATTGCTTTTGATGTTTCATAGTCATAAAAACTTGTGCATGTCTTACTGCTTGTATGTTCTTTCCTTTAAAAGTTTATTGGATCAAATACATTAAAAATTTTGTACCTCAGGGCCGGGGATTTAGCTCAGTGGTTCCACTGTCTGCCTTGTAAGCACAAGGTCCCGAGTTCGATCCCTGAAACAAAAGAACCCCAAATAAACACACAAAAAATTTTGTACCTCATCATACTCATCGTACTTTCTAAAAGTACAGTGCCAACTTATATGACCATGGCCATACACATATGTACAAATATTTTTTGGAAAAGGCACCAACACCTTCTACCAGGGATCTCACTGTGAATATTAAGGAGTATTTTCGGTGCATTTGCTGTCTTCTCATTTCTCTTTTTTTTTGGTACCAGGAATCAAACTCAGGACCTTGCACTTGCCAGGTAGGTGCAGTGCCACTGAGCTAAATCCCTGGCCCCTATCTTCTCATTTCTTTATTAAAGTAATAATGTAAAGCTTTATGCCAGGGAAAACTTCTGGCTCAACATTCTGTTCCTCCCTAGCTCTTTTTGGGAACCTTGCCATTGAACAATATAACAAATCTATAGAGCTACCACATAACCAGCTTATGTGTGTAGAAATATGAAACATGGGTAAATATCAGAAGTGAAGTGTTTGAGAAAGGCACATTGGAGGGATGTCTGCTTATTCTCCTTTATATCCTCTATCCGCTTTCTCCTCCATTTGAATATTTCTGTGAGACTTAAAGGAATTCTATTCTACATTCATGCCCACTACCATATAGTTTTCTTTTGTCTTCTACTCCCCATATTAAAGGGAAAAACGGAATTGTTCCATTGCTTTGGGGGACTGAGAGGAGGAGAGAAGGTATTTGGAGAGAACATGTTTTCTATTCCTGTTGTTATTTTCTTGGTCCTTTGTCCTTTTTTTTTTTTTTCTGTCTCCAATGAACTCAGCATGGCCTCCAGCCAGAGTTTACCCACTTTCTATTGACCTCTGATTGGCAGGGGTTAATCTCTGTCACTATTAGACTGAAAGGCCTTCAACCACCCAGACAGACATCTTCCCGATACATATCTTGCAAAGATCATAAGCCCTGGTAAGCAAGCACTCAGTAAATACTGGCTCCTTTCATCCTCTTCCTTCTCCTAGAAAAAAGCAAGTGGAAGAAATTGTGAGCTTGGCGTCTAACAGAACTGATTGATGGCCAGGTCCTTAGGTGGCTTGTGTCTGACCTTGGACAAAGAACTCGAGTTCTCTGATCCCTGCTTTCCACTGGGAGAATGCTACTTCTCTTTGATCACAGTGTGGCTTATTTATTGTAAAGCAGTTCTTCCCAAACCACCCACACAAGGCCTCTAGAGCTTCTATAGGGAAATTAATTTGAAGACTCATTGCCATCACTACTACAGTCCTGGAGGGCAGACTTCAGCCAGTATCAGGAAGGATGAGGCCCTCTATTTCACCTTCCTCCTTCTAGGCAGATGACAGTTGTAAATATTATGGTGGGAGGAGAGCCCTGTGGAGAGTAACTCCCAGTAGAGATTTGTGTTACTTGGCTCCAGGTATGGGGAGAAAAAACTCAAGTTGAGAGTTTCTCAGGCCTCTTGGAGACTAGGAGGAGGCAGAAGTTATTGGTTATGCTTTGGAAAGAAGTGATCTAAGAACACAGAGGCTGCTGCTACTTCTGGCTAGACAGATACCCTGCCCCTGTGCTCATCTCCATACCGGGTGTTATAGGATGGACCTAATCCATAAACAAGCATGACTCCTACTTGGACAGTGCTTGACAGTCCAAGAAGCACTTGGACTTAATGGAAGCAGTGACCCAAACATGACTAGATGAAGCTGAAGAAACTCAGGTTATATGTCTAATAACATCCTCCAGAGCCCAACATGGATCCAACAGACTACTCACAGTCCCAGTCATGGGGAGCAGAGAAAGACAACAAAGGCTGCCTCTTTTCTGAAGCAATGGTACTCCATGTCTGTCATCCAGCTCCTTCTCACATTCCAAGATACACCATTTCATACCTTTTCTCTCTCCCCAAACCTCCAACGCATTTCACTCTCCCTTGTCCTCTTACACAAGACCTCACTTCAATTACTTTAATGACAAAACAGAAGCCATGGGAACTCTTTTTCCTTTATCACTCTACAAAGAACCTGGCAACTGCTCTCACTCATCATCTTTGTCTTCCTCCAGCTCCTCCTGCTCATCAAGGCTGACCCCTCCCCTCTGTGTGTTTTCTGGGTCCTGGCCCTTCTGTCATTCAACGATTTGCTCCTGATCCCCTCACCCCCTATTCCCCACAAGATCAACTTCTTTAGCAAAGAACCGTGTTCTATCTTCCACTGAAATATGCAAAGCAAAAGTCTTGGGTGAATTTACACCCTTCTTTGGGCATTGTTCCATCCCATTCCTTCTCTTTACAACAACACTTTCCTCAGAACTGTCTGTACTCACCGCTTCCATTTCCTCACCCTGCCCTTTACTTCTCCTTCCACTCCATCTGGTTTATGATCGCACCACTGCACTGAAACTGCTTGTCACAGCAAACTCCATGTTGCCCCATCCCATGGTTACATCTTTGTTCCTCTTACTCAACCTCTAAGCAGTCTGCAACACAGCTGATAGCCTCTCCTTCTTGAAACACTTTCTCCTTTTGTCTTTTAGTTTAAACCACATGTATTCATTGCCTTACTATAGTAATAAATTACCACAGATTTGGGCCAGGGATTTAGCTCAGTGGTTCCACCGCCTGCCTTGCAAGCTAAGGACCCGAGTTCAATCCCCGGTACCAAAAAAAAAAAATTACCACAAATTTAGTTGCTTAAATTGGGTGTGGTGGCACATCCTGTAATCTCTAGTATTTGCAAATCTGAGGCAGGAGGATCACAAGTTTGAAGACATCTTGGGCAATTTAGTGAGACTGTCTCAAAATTTAAAAATTAAAAATAAGAACTGGGGATTTACCTCATTGCTCCCTGGGTTCAACCCCCAGTGTCACCAAAAATAAATAGATGATAAATGGTAGGTAGATGATAGATATTAGTGGCTCAAACAATGTACATTTACTGTCTCACATTTCTTTTTTTTTTGGTACCGGGGATCGAACTCGGGACCTTGTACTTGGGAGGCAGGCGCCGGAACCACTGAGCTAAATCCCCAGCCCTGTCTCACATTTCTGTAGGTCAGAAATCCAACATGTGTCTCATGGGGTTAAAATCAAGGTATTGGCAGGACTGGAATCCCTTCCAAAAGTTCTAGTGGAAATTTTACTTCCTTGCTCATTCAGGTTGCTGGAAGAACGCACTTCTTATGATTGTAGGACTGAGGTCCTATGTCTCAGGAGATTGTTAGCTGAGGGTCACTGCCAGCTTCTAGAGGCCATGTGCATTCTTTGGCCTTGTCTGTCTTGCTCACTTATTATGGAGAACCTAGAAAAGTGCCTGTCCATGAATTTTTAAGGGATTAGCAGCCCATATCTTACCTTCCTCAATCCTATTCCTTTCTGTCCTCCCTTCTCCTCTTCTATAGTTTCTGTTCCTGTTCGAAGCTCTGTCCTGAAGACAGAATTCTCCAGGCCTCCATCTTCAAAGCCAGAAACAGTGGATCCAGTCCTTTTCATGCCTCCTATCTCTCAGGCCTCGTCTTCCACCATCACTTCTTTGACCCCTTCTGCCTTTCTTTTCTATTTTTCAAAACAGGAATGGTTACATGGGGCCACCAAGATAATTCAGCATAATCTTCCCATCCCAATGTTCCTAACGTTAATTGCATCTTCAAAGTCCCATTTTCCAGGTAAGTAATGTATTGACAGGTTCTGCAGATAAGAATGTGGACATCTGTTAGGTCTACTGTTAGGCCTACCTGGTGTTTTACTTGTTCTCTTAATGTCTTACTAGTAACTTCTCCCTAGCCTCATCTCCTGGCTCTTCAGCATCTCATGACCTCTAATTTTCGGAGGCCCACAGCCTCAGCCTCACTCATCTTCCTCATCCCTCATACTCTACCCGAAAGCAATCTCATCCAATTTTGTGCCTTGAAAGTGCCATCTGCAAACCAGTGCTTCTAACTCAGTATTTTAATACCTAAATTCTTTCTTGTGTTCAAGATTTATGTTTTGTTTTGTTTTCTTTTCTTTTCTTTTCTGTACTGGGGATCGAACTCAGGACCTTGTGCTTGTGAGGCAGGTGCAGTACCACTGAGCTAAAGCCCATTCTATGATTCATTTTTTTTTTTTTGGTACCGGAAATTGAACTCGGATCCTTGCACTTGTGAGGCAGGCGCTGGAACCACTGAGCTAAATCCCCAGCCAATGGTTCATATTTTTGACTCAGTATTTCCACTGGAATAAATAATTGCCATCTCAGTCTTAAGATGTCACACTGAAACTTTGGGTTGTTTTTTGGTTTTTGGTTTTTTTTTACAGGCCCTGTTTTTCCTCTAGCCTTGGCCAGTTTAGTAAAGACATCACACGAGCTAGTTTCTCAGTCCCACCCCTAGAAGTTGCATCAGCGTTCTCTTTAACTGCCCCCTTTATCCACTTAATTAGCCAGGCTCACAGACATGCTGTTTACCCACTTCTGTCCACCTTTTCTATGCCCAGTTGGATGCAGGCCTCTGCCATCTTCTAAAAGGGTTACTTTCACCTGAAATTGCCCAGAATTTACTCTTACCCCCTGACTATAGCCAGAGCAAGTTTTTAAAAATACATAAGATCAAGTCATGTAATGCTCAAGATCATCCAAACTTTTCTCTATACAGATAGTTACAATAAAATCTGTTGCCCTAAACCTTGCTACTGGTAATGTGGTTTGCCATCAGTAGCACTGGCCTAGCCTGGGAGCATGTTAAGAATGTAGATTCTTGGACTCTACCTTGGACCTGTTGAAGCAGAGCCTGGACTTTAACAGGATGGGATGGGTAGGGATATTAAATTTTGATTGGTGTTTTTCTGTCTCCTGTCGCTCTTCTCCTTGTTAACTAGTTTTAAACTGTGTTGGTCTTCTGTTTCTCATTATATCAAGCACGCTATTCAGGTAGGAGATTAGGGCTGGGGCAAACCAGACAACTAAAGGGATGGAATGTGTTAAAGATCATAAAAATCCAGACAGATGCATAGGACCCAGGATCCAAAATGATTCCGTGATTTCTAAGCACTGTACATGGAACCAATTAGAACCAATATTTTTTTCCATTAAGTTTATTGGTACATTTTAGGTATACAGTATGGTTACATTCATCATTGGGAAGTTGTACCTGAACTTGATGTATCTTGGTTCTTATTTTTTCCCCATCCCCCTGCCCTCCCTTGACCCCCTCCACCCTTCCCTATTTACAAAGATATTGTTTCCATTTTTTCCTTTTCTCATATTTTTTCTTTTCCCTTCTTTCCTTTCCCCTACCCCTCCCA